CATAGCTGATCCAACCTGACAGCCCTTTACCGAGCTTCAGGAAGCTTTCAATGATAGTATTCAAAACAGGCTTCCGTGTAACAGCAGTAAAGACACCATCAACAGCCACTTCAAGCGGTTCAGATAGAGCTTCCCTCCAAGGATGGAAAGAAGTGATAAGTGGAATTCAGCTGTAAGCATCAGGACTTAGAAAGATTTCTCTACTTTATATATTGATGGCTAAGTTGAAAGAATGTGCAGCAACGTGAGAATCTTGCTGGTGAAACAAAAAACCAAGGAAAGGCGGTCAATAAAAAGGTGGGTAGCAGTGCAGTTGCCCGATGAGAAATCTTGAAGTTAAATGGCATCTTGCAATTCATTGTAAAAGGAAGAATCTGAGACTGAACAAGAAGAATCCCAAAAGAATTCTCCATTTACAAATGTGCCTTCAGAAAAACTGAACATAGAAACAGGAACCGGCTTCAGATCTGATGATACTTCATCACAGCCTCCAGATGAAGAGTGAAACATTGTTTACTCTTCTATAGATATTTTTTGGCACATGTGTAAAAAATAATGTTGGAAAGTTTACTGATCCTTAATATCTAAACAACTATTGTAGAGACAAATTTTCCTTAAGTCCCAAAACAGTACGTAATACTAATGAAGCTCTTTTAGAATTATCATCTTTACAGAGAGATAGCTTTTCTAAATCTAGGGACAAATGAAGTGAGAGTGATTTTCATGTTTCTGGAATTTCTCTCTTTGATAAACATAATGAAAGACATAAACTGTGGCTTATTTATTTATTCATTTATGGAGGATGCATGTATGCATGTATTTATCATTTATTTGGAATATGCCAACATGCTGCTATTTTAAAATATCTGTCAGTACCACTTTTTGTAAATAAGTGGCCGAATTTTTCAGTTTTTATTTGTTCGCTTGTTTGCCTTTTATAAGGTAACCAAATTTGCTAGTTTGTGTTTTGATTATCTGGGAGGGAGGCCGTATTATTACTCCATCAGTGAAATTGATCACACTAACCAAATAGGGGCAAAAAGAAACAATATTCCCTTTTTTAATTTCCTTGCAGAAACGTGGTCATATTCCACATCCTCTTAAGAGAAACACCATAAAACATATGTCTTAAATATTTTAGTCAATTAGGACCATCCACTTCGAAGCAGAATATTCTTCAAATTATAGCACGATAGTTCCCCATAATTCTACCGGGACAGGGCTGCTATTTTAAGAAACTCTGTGGTTTGAGAAATGACGATGGGACAAAGAAATGTACACAATCCTGAAGTGAGCCAAAGGACAGATGCTGCAGGCTATCTGAGCTTCTGTTAAATATGAGAACCAAGGGGCATGAACTTAAGCTAGAGAATGGCCGAGCACTAAAAAGTGCTTCCAACTCTTTTGCAATTGCCCTTTGCGGAATAAACAGCCCAGGAAAAAAAGATAACAAGCAGCATACACAACAAGAAGGTGGACAAGTGGCTCTGGGCAGTGCAATGGGCAATTTAATGAGTAGAAATCCTCAGTGTGCTATTTTCAGGTTAAGTATGTATATGGATGCTCCTAAAACGGGCATTTTCATTATAGCTAAAAATATTTTTAGGAGCTTCGGAGTACCTCTATTTTGAGGGGTTTAAAACCATACCATTGAAGCTAAATATTTATCTTTTAAAAATTTGCTGGGAAAGAAACACCTCTTGGGAATTATTAAGAAATCAAAAATGTTTCTACCTGGGAAAAGTGTTTTTACACACATATAATTTTATGGTTTTTTATAAAGAACTAGTGCATTTGTAGTCTCCAAATCTAGTCCACCTGCTAAAAATGAAGTTCATTTCTTTAAGTAGTCTATAATTCAATTCCTTTCCTCTTATCAAGTATCCATAGAGCAGAGGGAGTGAGAGAGTTAACAAAAATAGTTATTAATTTTGCCCTCACAAAGCACTTAGGAAGGCATCAGGAATCACGATATTATAGAATTATTACCGTGGATAGGGCTTTAGAGCAAACTCCCCTCATTCTGAAGACTTCAGGTAGACATGTGAAGTGATTTACCTCTAGTTTTGTGGCCAGAGCATCCAGACTCCCAATTCACTATTTTTTTAAAATTCTACTAAATAGGATGAGGTATATAAAGGGCTTGGTATACCGCCGGGCACAGAGGTGGCACCTAATAATTGTTGCTAAAGCCATATAAAGAGCAACAGGTAGAGATGCATAGGGACACCGTTGGACACAGAGGAACATAAGCTCAAACTTTGACAGTAAGACAAGAGGCCCAGCAAAGGTACAGGGTAAGGTTGACGAGCATTAAGCTACTTTCCAAAAGTTTCTAGACTTTCCTTTAAGTTATCAAACAAATGCTGGTTTTGGTGGCTAAACACTAAACACTAGAATTTCCTTCAATCCCTCCTAATTATCATATACCCGGGTGGGTGCTTCTCCGCTGAAGAGACCGTCTTACGCCTTTGTATGCCAAGCACCCCTCACATAATAGGTTCTCGATAAAAGGTGCTCCATAATTGATGAATAAAACAACAGATAAACAACCATGAAGTAATAGGAAAACTCTAACTCAGAAAACTCAAATGTGAATGATCAGGATGTGCTTTTCTCAAATGAAGAAATGCACTTTGCACTCCTCACTCACAAATGGTTTGCTTGCAGAGTTATGGAATAACAGATAAGTTATTCACGACTGTTTGGGGAGCCGAACCATATCTTTCGGTTCAAATGAACATGCTGTGGGCAGGTTCTCCCTGGTCTCTCACTGATTATCAAGAGTGACCTAAAGGTTTTTAACCTTAAGGACAGAGTTTTCCATTTGCATCGTGTCATCCTGATCTCTATCCTGAGAGACTGCCCCTTGTTTGACTAACCAGCCCAGCTTGCCTGTCTGTGGCTACACATGCTTAGGGAAAAAAATTCTAATTAAGCCAGTTTATACATTTTAACATGTCTGGAAAATTGTAGAGTTAATGGTTGCAGACCATTTCCATTACTTTAGTCAAGGGATCACTTTTTTTTTTTTTTTTTTCATTTTCAAAATGTGCCTATGGGAAAAAAGGGAAAAGGGAGAGGCCTGTGAATTCAGCTCCTCATCTCCCTTTGTGGTAGCTGTTAAGCGAGTGCATTAGTAGGAAAGAAAAAGGATAATAGGGCTAGTAATTGGCAGGGCTGTCCAACTACACCTCTCCTCTCTCCCACCACTTGGCCCTGCCCAATTTGTCTCTCCCATAGCCCCTTGATGCCTCATCTCTTCACCAAACTTTTACAAAGTTGCCCCCTGTATCTGGTGGCTTGTTATGTAAGGATTTTCATCAAAGCTTCCACATGAATGTTCCTCCACTTGTTAAACCAATATTAAAACAAGAAAGAACCCCTAGTTTAAAGCATCCATGTTGCCAGTCCCCCAGCTGGAAGGCCACTGCCGATGGTAAGTGGTGAGGGAAAAGTATAATTAAAACTTAACTTTCAACTGGAGCTCATAGTTTATACCCAGTAAGAAGCTCTTTTCACCACGTGAGCTTTCAGGTGGCTGTTCTGAACAAAATAGGTGCTGATTCCTTTTATGTGAAACCCTTAAGATAACTTTAACATGGTCCTTTGCAGTTTAATTTATCATAAATTCTGGCACCATTTATCACTAAATGCAAAATGATGAAGAAATGGCTCTATTAAATCTGAATAACTGCTGAATTAAAAAGCTGTTAAATGAGTTGAAGCACATAGTACTGTTAACAATATGTGGAAGTGTGTTTGGCTGGAATAAATTACTTTCACAGTCATCATTTGAAGAGTCTACCTTTGGAGGAATATGTTCAAAATTTCACATCTTGATTCCCTGACTAAATCCACATGTACTGCTAATGTACTTTTAAATTGACTTCACAGAGAACGTGAGAAAATGCCTGGTCTGAAATTCTTAGGTATCAAAACAAAATTCCTCTATTTAAAAACTGAGGAAAAGATGACTTTAGAAGAGGCATGTAAAATCCACTAGCAAATTCCAGTTAAGATATATTTTATCTGTCCACTCTTAATCTTTCAAGAAACGGCTTTGTGATATTTTCATGTGATCTAGCACACTAATTTTTCAACAATAGCTCTCCCAAGGCAAGTATTTTAGCATCACCCATCCATAGCACCTTTTGAATAATAACACAAGGATCAGTTCACACACCTAACGGATTGATTTTTTTTTCTGAGAAATTAGTTGGCAGTTGTAAGCAGAGTTTTGTTCAAAGTAGGGTTCTGTCACATAATCTGTACTCATTTATATTCTGAATAACATTAACAAAAAAGGCTTAAATAGCAAGACATTTATGAACTTCACAATATAGTATCTGGACTCTAGGCTTTGACAAAAAGCATATCTGTGCTGATAGAGTTCCCCAAGTATGTCCCCTCGCAGGGTTTTGGCACATAGACAGGGTGTTCTTAATCCTTACCCGCATGAGGGCACTTCCTAATGTCTTTAATTATCACCCTGGTATTGTGATTAGAAACAAAGACTTTTCAATAATAGTGTCCTGTTGCATGTTTAGAGATACTTCAGCGTGAAATCTTTAATAAAGAGGATTTGCGAATGAACTTAATTAGCCCTGTTAAAAACATCCAGAGAACAGCAACTTCATGTCCACAGAGAGGGTTGTGTCTTGGCATGGGGCAGGTTCCTTGGGGAGACTTTCTCTGTGAAAAGCAAGGTACTATCGTTTGAGAAAGCACAAGCCTTATTTTTACATGTTTACCAAATACGATGTCTGGTTTACAGAAAGCAGTTTATTCAACTATTCTCAAAGCCCTCCAGATATGTTGTTTTACAGGGTTTACAAAAATATCTATGGACACAATGCTAAGTTACAGGCACACACACACACAGAGGCAAATTCTTGAATTCCAAAGTGGTGTAGACATACTTTTGTCTTTGTCTTTATGTGCTTTAAAGGAAACTATATAACTATGTAGAAAAGAAAGCATGTGTCAATAATGTCTATTTATGCAACATTGGTTTCTTTCTTCTTTTTGTTCTCATGTACCCTTTTTCATCCTCCTTTCTGTCAGCTCATCCACCCCAGGAAAAGAGCTTGATAGTCTCTAGGTTATTATGTGAGGTGAGACAGACAGAGAGAGAAAAGGATAGACCACAGAAATTAGAAAACTGAGTGGAGGGAGTAGAGTATTTCCCTTCTGAGTGCAAAGGACAGTAGATCACTCTCTAAGAGCTGCAAGAGACTCTAGTAGACTTTGGTAGGTAGCTGTTGGGGGACTTTGAATCTGGTACCCACATCATTTTCTCTTCTCCCATCTGATTGTCTCTGGGAGTGCTTTCTGCTTGGGATATGCCCTTTAATTCTACAAAGCTAAGGAGGCTTAGGGGAGGGGCCAGATTAGGGAAAGCTATTGAGTTGGTTATAAAGCTTAAAACTCTGTTTATTTGCTTGCTTGTTTATTTTCTTAGATTTCTATTATACCTTTCCTGTCCCAGTTTAGTTGGGGGGAAAAGCAGGTAACAACCAGGGGTAGTAATCTATCTAAGACTGCATGTAGCAGAGTCTCCCTCATGCTGTAATGCTGTGTGTGTGTGTGTGTGTGTGTGTGTGTGTGTGTGTAAGATGAAAGATCCTCCAAGCATACACATTGAGGAACCTAATTAAGTGACATCATCCAAACTAGAAATCTGAAAGTCATCTCCTATACTTACTTTTCAGTCATCTTCCCAGTGGTAGGAAATATATAAAGACCCCCACTCACCCAAGATCCCTGTCCCCTAATTTTTCAGTCAACTGCTAATCTAGGAAGTTCTGTGAAGGGATATTGCAGCTGGAGCTAAGGTACTAGTAATCAGCGGAACTTAAGAAAGGGAGATTATCTAGGTAGAACCAATGCAATCACATGAGCCCTTACAAAATAGAAGAGGAAGGCAGAAGAGTCAGTCAGAGAGACGAAGCAGTGCGAGAAGAATCCAACACGCCACAATTCTGAGATGCAGGAGGCTATGTGGAGGGACCGAAGGGATGCTGTTAGAAGTTCCAGGACATCCCCAGATGACAGGCAGCAAGAAACAGGGACGTTCGTCCTACAACCACACAGAACAGAATTCAGTAAATAGTCTGGAAACAATTCTCTCCTAGAGTCTCTAGCCCTGCCGAACACTTTGACTTCAGCCTTGTGAGACCAGAGGCAAGGAGCCCCATGGACTTCTGACCTACACAACTGTGAGATGGTAATAAATGGGTATTGTTTTAACTGCCAAATTTGTGGTACTTTGTTATGGCAGCAATAGCAAACTAATACACTCCATTTATTCTGACATTAAGTTCTATTCTATAACCTTTATTTCTGGAATCCACCCTTTCCTCTCTTTGCTCATTGCCACTACACCACTGAATTCTTGTAACTCTTTCACTGCATTAGCAAAATACTCCTAATAGGTTTCCCCTCTTTATCTTCCTTTATCCTCAGTCTACTTACCTTAGTGCCATAGGGATATTGTTTTTGAAACACAAATCCATGGCTTTTATGTCCATATGGTTGATTTGTGGCACACAATGATTTCTCCAAGATCCAATTAAGATAATACTATACAACACTTTAAAGTCATAAGCTCATAATTTATAAAAACAAATGGGAGGAAAGTGTATAAGTGGTTAAAAATTTCCACACATTTCTAGAAAGTGGAAAGCAGACAGATGACGGGCGACTCATGAAGCAGGACAGGATCCACTGCTTGGAGCCTTGCAGAGGGTTCCAGAGCCAGAGGAGGAGACCTGGGATTTACAAGGGCAAAGTATGACTGGGAAGACGGGGTGGGGGGATAAGCAAGGGGTTGATATCATAAAGCCTAATGGAAAGTCAATAAACATAACAATGGAATTCCCACTTCTTCCACCTCTGTACACAGAACAAATGTTCTACTTAAAGGAAGTGAGCAAACTACGTGTGGAGGGTAGGGCAGCTGGTGTATTTGGAGCACACAGAGCAATAGCATTTCCATTACGGGCTGCAGGCATGGCCAATGGCAGACTCAGTGACAACTCTCTAGGTAGTGAAGTTTGCCAGAGGACAAGCAGATTTTTTCTCATTTCCGTCTTCTTCTTTTTTTAAGATTTTATTTATTTATTTGACAGAGAGAGCTCAAGCAGGGGGAACGGCAGTCAGAGGTAGAGGGAGAAGCAGGCTCCCTGCTGAGCAGGAAGCCCAATGTGGGCCTTGATCCCAGGACCCCAGGATCATGACCTCAGCTGATGGCAGACGCTTAGCCGACTGAGCCACCCAGGAGCCCCTCATTTCCTTCTTATATATGAATAATCTGATAAGGATCATGAGACATTTGATGAAATTCTAGAATACAAAAGAGAAATTTCAGAGGAAACATAATTTAACGAATACAAGGTTTTGTTCTAAGCTCTAAATAGTATAATCAGAAATATTTAAGAAGATACTACAACCATGAAACAAACACACAAAAAATATGGTGTTATGAGTAGAAAAGGAATCACAGAGAACGAGGGAGAAAGCTTACAAACTAAAAATGTGATTACAAAAAAGAAAAAATTTGATGGATGGGTTTGAGGAGAAAAATCAATAATCAAGAAGTTGAACAACAGAAATCAGAAAATATAAGTAAAAATTATTGTAAAGATATAGAGGATTTGTCCAGAAATTTTATAATCATGCTATTAGGAATTCCAGAAAGTAATTAAATAACAATTAGCAAAGGATTGCCCAAGGCCAAAGGACACAAGACGTTAAATTGAAAGTGTCCAGCACAACTAATGAGAAAGAACCAGAACTAGACATATTATTATAAACTTTCAAATGCAGACTTAAAAATTTTGAAAAGCCTCCAGAAAGAAAAATATGTCTCTTAATGAGATTCAAGCTGGCATCAGAGTTACCATCTTCAAAAATGGATATTAGGAGAAAGAAAACAAAATTGCAATGTTCTGTGGGAAAACAAATTTCAACTTTGAATTCTATACCCAGATGAATTATAATCCAAATGTGAAGGTAAAAATAACTATAATTTCATACGTGAAAGAAATCATAATTTACCTCCTAACTCTTTCTTCCGAAATTATTTAAAATTTGTTCCACCTAAATAAAGGCAAAAAATACACACATAAAAAAAGGATAATATGGGGGCGCCTGGGTGGCTCAGTTGGTTGAGCGACTGCCTTCGGCTCAGGTCATGATCCTGGAGTCCCTGGATCGAGTCCCGCATCGGGCTTCCTGCTCAGCCGGAAGTCTGCTTCTCCCTCTGACCCTCCCCTCTCTCATGTGCTCTCTCTCATTCTCTCTCTCTCAAATAAATAAATAAAATCTTTAAAAAAAAAAAAGGATAATATGGTATTCAGGAAATAATGTGTACAAATTAGGAGATCAATAAAGACAAGTTGTAGGATAACCTGTTGTGCCTAGTTCTAGAGAGAATTTAGTCCCAATGGGAGGTGAAGGAGGGAGGTTTCTAAGGGGAAAGAGAGAGCAAATGTTGTAGATTTTTATATTCTTAGCAATCAACTGGAAGTCCTTCAACATGCATTTAAAAGTCCTTAGGTATGCCAAAAATTCATGAAAAAGGAAGACATTAAGAAACCAAAGAAAATGCTGTTCAATAAAAATAATATATCTAAATAAAGCTTGTAGATTGGCTAATAATAATGTATCAGTGTTAATTTCTTAGTTTTGATCACTATACAATGTGTATGCAAGATGTTAACAATAGGAAAATCTGGCTAAAGGATGTACAGGAATTCTCATACTATTTTTGTAACTTTTATCTAAGTCTAAAATCAATTAAAAACAAAGAAAAGTAAATTTAAGCAAAAGGAGATATGATAGTTGTATGTTACTGGAGTGCACAATAGACAATAATTATGTTGTCGAGTTATAAATAAAGAAACAATAGAAAAGTAGTTAGTAATTTAGTGTATAGAATGATTTTGGTTTTGTCTGCATCAAAATCAGTGTTACCGGAGTAAAACATTGCCAAGGCAGATGGTTAAAATGCCAAATATCAAAACCTCTAGCTGCGGCTCCTACCAGGATTCGTCTCAGAAAATCGCCTACTCCTTGGGAATGGAATTAGGCAAAGTGTAAACTGAAAAATTTAGCAACTAAGAGACAGGTTTGGACATTGGGAAGAGTGTGCACGGACAGGAGGATGTTTACGTTGCTCAGTGGTTGAGGCAAGATCAATGATAATCAATTGGAGCTTCTACTCATGATTAATGTCTGCACAATTGCTGCAGCCAACTCTATCTATATGTCCCACACTTCCCCTAGACCTGGCAGAACAAGAAAACTAAGAGCCAAGCCCCAATCTGGACCAAACTTGCTACAAATACGTTATGTACAGCAGACACTGATCATACCATCTTCATGCTATACATGTTTCTAAGATTCAGAGCTTACTGATACCCCAGTGAGTAACTTGTATGTGCAGCCAGCTGTCTTAAAGTGGATGAAAAATAATATCTCTGAGTGGAGCAACTGTTTTCTCACCTGATGCTCATGAAGTTAAATGAGTGACCTACAGTGAAGACCACTTGAATGTGGCCTTTGCCATGACTGACAAATATGAGAAGTAGCTGGTGCTATGGAGTCCATGGACGTATTGGGAAATACGAAGGATCAATTGACGACCAATGTAAATATCATAGCTACCAACTGGGATGCTTTTTGCCATGAAATGATTGATACCCTTCTCTATGATGGAGACACTTGAGTTTTAGGCCCTCCTGGCTCACAGAATCTTTTCTGATGTAACCATTTCTTGCATCAACATCTTGCATCTTGTGCTTTGATGTAGTTATAGTCCTCACTACCACACCTCTCTAGGGCCTGTCTACAAATATTAAAGAGAGATCTGTAAGGATCAAAGTGTTTACAAATAACTTAACTACGCTCCAGAATAAAGTCCTAGCAAGTTGAAAAAGAATAAATATATAGATAGACAGACACATATTGTGATTTTTAGCTTTTTGCGTGATATAGATCATACTATGTGTGTGTATATATATATAGTTAATATTATCTTTGAATACACATAAATATAATGTTATATGTTATATATTTTATACATATATTTATGTATATAAGATATATGTGTAATATATATAAATACATAAATGTTTATGTGAGGTATAAGATAAAAATCACATTAACAGCCATCTATATAATTAAAAAATTATCAGGCATGCAAAGAAGAAAAAAACACTATAGGATAAGCAGAAAAATCAGTCAACCAAAACTGCCCCCCAAATGGCACCGTGCATACACACACACACACACACACACACACACACAATTAGTAGACAAAAAAAGTTTTAAAAATACTGAAACTGTATTCCATATATTCAGCAAGGTAGAAGAAAGATTGAACATGTTAAGTAGAGGCACAGATCATATAAAAAAGACTTAAATCAGGCCTCTAGAAATAGATTTATAAGGCCTGAAGTAAAAAATACACTGTTGAATAGTTTCCTTCAAATCATCAACAAATGAAAAATCATGTGAAATACCACTACCAGAAATAATCACAGTTGAACATGGTGGAACATCCTGCTAGTAATTGCACATCCTACCTGTGCATGCATGCGTATGTGCAAGTAATTCCACATAAGGTGGTTTATACAATGCGTTTCAACAGCATCAGACTCAGCAGTGTAGCAATTTGTGAACAGATGACAGAAGTGCAAATGTAAGAGGTCAAGAAGATAGGGAAACTCTGGCAGCTAATTCCTTCTTAAGGAAATCAAAATATGCTACTTCTGTTCAATACACACACACACACAAATATAAATATGGTATTTAAAATTGTAGTGGAAAGCTGTTACCAAAAATCGTGTCATATTGCCATTGGTACAATGTAGGAAAAGAAAGTAGGGGTGATATAAGTAATCATCATCTACTATAGCAAGTTGTAATCAGTAATATCTATGGTAGATCAATCAAGAAATCAGTTAACATATTATGTGGAAACATAGCAAACACCAGAAAAATGAAAAACAGGAAAAGGAATAACATATTCCCTCTAGGGAGTGGATGTAGATGGTGTAAACTGAATACTATCCT